GATTCAAAATAAAGGAAATTCAGAATCGGGGCGTTACACCTTACATGTTATGAAACTCAGCCTTAACTGTATCATCATTAAATAGCCAACCATAGGCATAACACAAAAATAGCCAACCATAGAGTATTAGATTTTCTTTTTATTATAATATTATATTATTTTGAAAGGAAGGATTCAAACATTATATTGAATAGAAATTTTGAATGGTTTAAAAAAATACTTATAATTTAATTTATATTATTATAATTTTTTGAAAATTAAAAAATATAAATGGTAAATATTATATTTATTATTCTCTAAAAAAACTTTTTAAAGAAATTATTTACTTTTTTTTCTCTGTTGCCATGCTCCAAAACTATTCTTTTTTAGTTATCCTACAAACTTGCCAACAAAGCAGACATAAGCTATCATTAGAGTTTTTAGTGATTTTACTTGTACAGCTTAGAACCCCAAACCCAATTATTCTTTTTTGCTTTTGTTACTACTTACTGCTAAGCCTTCTTAAACAGGAGTAGAAATGTGAGCTAAACAATCAATGCATGAGTGAACTAGCAGGAACAGAGAAAAGAATACTTTACGCATGAACCAACAAAATTAACCAAAATTCATAAGACAAGACATATGAGTAGAAACTTGGCTGGCTATATTTGGTCTTATAAACAACCAACAAAGACAATTCATGCCAATCTCATCGGTTTCATATGATAAATGCCACATGGATTGATTCTTGCCCGCAAATGGGCCCTACCACTAACTAGGTTGATATTTTCTCAATCTTCCGATAAATGATTTAGTTGATAATTTCATATAAATTAATAAAAAAATGATATTATTATTAAAGTGTCTTTTATTGATGATGGAAATAATATTAATTAGACGGAGAATTGAAAAATATGTATTGAAAATTAAAATAAATCATTTATTTTGAGACATATTTTTTTATTTAAATTGGTCATTTATCGTGAGATAAAGGGAATAGATATTAGTGTTTGATACCATCACCGACACATGTGTATAATAAGTTTTTGATAAAATTACACTAGAAGTTTTTAAGTTATTATTTTTAACAGGTTGGTCATTTAAATTATTTTTGTAATAATTTGGTCTTAAGGTAGGGGTGACAAAACGGACCGCCTGCTCCACCCCGTCCCACCCCACCTTAAGCCCGTAACAAAAAAAGTGGGGCGAGCAAGCTCGTCAAGTGGAAATGATCATAAAAATCTAACTCGCTCCGCCAAGGTGGCGGGTTGACGGGCGGCGGACTTACCGCCTACTTTTTTTATTTTTTTTATTTTTTATTTTTTTAATATATTAATAAACTTGTTTTTACATTTTAATTAGATTTTTCACTTATTTTTTAAAATAATTTTTATAAAGTATCTTTTAAACAAATTTTACTTCAAAAGATATTGCATATATTTTCAAATAAATGTATAAAATAAAACCATTAAGAATTGAAATGACTAGAACTAGTTAAAAAAGGGCGAGTTTAAGATGCAGCGGGCTTTCGCGGACGACGGGTTTTGACAGGACGGACTTTTTTGATGAGCGGCGGGCACAAATTCTCAACCAACCCGCCATTTTTTGGCGGGTGCGCGGGTCGACCCGACGGGTCACGACCCGTTTTGCCACCCCTACTTTAAGGTGATTTCTATATCATTTTTCTCACATTTTGAACATTTAAAAATGGGTGACTATTGTATTTCTAATTACACTTTATCATTTTTATATCACTCAAAATAATTGTATCTACAACTAATTTAATTATTCTGTTAAAAAAAATAACGGTGCATGCGTTTGGTCAATTAAAAGACAAAGTTGTCATGAAAGAACTTTAAAAGTCAATATGTTACACAAAAATAATTTAAAGAACCGTTGGTGTAATTTTGTCTAATTTTTTATAATGCATAATTTTTATGTTATCTTTAAAGAGTCTTGAATAAAAGATAAATGGTACTCATCTAACACATTAAAGAAGACAATCACCATCTTACCAATCGATTTTATAAAACTGATTTAAATCCGATTTTAAGATTATCGCTTCATTAATATTAGTAGGGCTAATAGAAAAAGAATATTCCAAAAGTTTAGTGGAAAAAAAAGCATGATGATGAGTACACATTTGATATTTTCAGCTATTTAGAGAGACTTGGACCCCACATACAAGAATCTTCACAATTAGTATAGCAACACTCTCCAATGCATTACCCTACTTGCATTGCATGCTTTTTAAGTAATGTAATCATACATCACCAATTTCCAAATGATGTTCATCCCAAGACTTCTTTTTCAATTTTCCTTGTATTCTATTCAAACAAGTTTATCATCATAACATGCTTTTGACACATTACTATGTTGACTAATTCAAACAAACCACACACTCTTCTTTCACTCTTTGTACCCTATAACACTATCAATGCTCCCTCATCTCTATTTCTCTGTCTCTGTGGATTACTTGCATGAAACTAGTAAAGCATATTCCACTTTCCTTTTTCACATGTCATGCCATATATGCTTTCTTTATCTCTTTCATCACTTCAAATTCTAATGCTTCTGCTTCCTTCCTCTATAGTCACTGATTCCTTCAATTTAGACAGCTTTTTCATATATTGTTCACGGGTATGTTTTCTCCTTTATTAACTTTTTCATATTTCTTTAGATGAATCCAATACATGGAGTAACTTGATTAAAGTGTTGTTTCTTATTTAACACTTCACAACCAGTTAAAAGCCTTTTTCATTCTGTTAATTATATCTATGAATAGCACTTTTGTCAGATAAATATATATTTATGAAAAAGCAGCATATACTAAAGTATATAGGTTCTATGTACCTATAAAATTCCAATAGGAAGAGGACGAAAAGAAATGATAGAACTTTCTTATGGAGGGAGAAAAGGAGTATAGTAAGTGGTAGAAAACTTTATGAATTGGAGAAGAGAAGAGACACATAATTGGCTAAATTTCTTCCTCACTAACATCAAAGAATCAAATTAGGAATTCTGGCTTGTTGGTGGCCAAATAGTGCATTTTTGGAATCACTGTCGCGGAATTAACATATCTTTTTGTAGTGATATATTTGCAAGTGTCTTTGTGGAGGCAATGAGATTATATTGCTCACAAAGGGCAATATGATCATATCGCCTAACCGCAACCTGCTCCACTCGTCTAGAATAGAAAAATGTGAAAAGTGATGTGTCTTGGTTAGAGATAACGTAGAAAAGAAGTCAAAAGAATAACTCATGTCTCGCTAGAAAATAAGATTCAATAGTCCACTACCATTACTAAGATGAACGGTTGATATTCTTGAGAAATCCTAAATCCAGATCCAAAGACTTTTATAAATATCTCAACCTTAAGATTAAGGAGAACATTCAGATATTCACTAAAGAATATCCTTATGTTAGAGCTTCTCACCTCGTAAGTTTTTTCTAACCTCTTAAAAAACACCTTTAAAACAGGCTCCTCACCCTCACGAGTTTGACCTAACATCTAGAAACACTAAATCCTCTAACAATCTCTATCAGCGTTGTTACACATCTGTATTTTTTTTAGCAAGTACGTATTGGAATCACGGACATTCGGTCAAATTCACTATCAATCCAAATTAAGGAGAAGTTGTTTGGAATTACCATGATTTTCTCGAATCCACTTTGAACTATGGCAAACATAGCAGATATTGTATACATACATGGATGGTTTTGACTATCCACTTTGTGAACTTTCACTATGATCATTAAATTAGGATCTATGAAAAACCAAAAATTACCTCAAAGAAAAAGGTGACTTCTAAAGCCTGCAAAAGCTGAAGCAATCTTTTTTGGAAGAAAAACATGAGGGCAATGCTTCTGTATTGTGGAAAGCAATGGATGTTATTCTATAAAAAAAACACAGTACTCTTTTTTTACTTTACCATCATTTGTCTGTGAAAGCACAGACCAAAGTATATGTCAGATTTAAACAAATGAAAGGTCTAGCACTAACATCATAGATAGATATATCCTTAACCTCAACAACCATTATAGGTTCTTCTTTATAGATCCCATAGATTAGTATTTTATTGATTTCAAAATTTAAAAACTTGTCTAAAAAGTTGCTTTTATGAAACTAATGCAGAGCTCTTTCATCAATTATATGATTAAAACATGGAAGAAAGAAAAGATATATCTTCCATGTTTCTTGCTTCTTAGATAGTTGAGAAGACATTCATCACACAACCACTTGTTAGAAAAGAATTACAATTTGATTACGAAGTTCAATTAGTTGTGTCTACGTTTTATATTGCGCAAGAAAGTGTTAATGGACTAAATGTCTAGAGTATCAGAGACCTTGACATCGCATATCCATCCAAAACCTTATAAATCCAACATTCCTAGTCGATATAGGACTTTAGCACTTTCATGTGAAATCCAACAACAAGTCATACTTGATTCAATTGAATAAAGATTTCATGTAACTTAATTTATATCTAAGAGTTGCTTTATTGAAATTAATGCTAAGCTATTTGCTAAAACAATAAATGATACTTTTTATTATCTTATGAAGGTTTTGGTCACACACTAGTTAGTTGCATCACTTTTTTCCTGATTTTCATGCCCTTTTCTTAACATAATCATACATTCTCTCTCTCTCTCTCTCTCTCTCTATATATATATATATATATATATATATATATATATATATATATATATATATATATATATATATATATATATATATATATATATATAGATATATAGATATATACTAGTACCTATTTGCTTTGGAATTCTTAAAACTTATAAATTTCTCAACTTCAACAACATTATAAATAGTCTTAACTATCTATGCTCTACTTATGTACCATTACTCAAGGTAAATCATGTAGTTCACTTCATGTTCTACTTAGGTAACATTCTATAATGCACCTTCTTTCCTCAATTGCTTTTAAGTGCATGAAGAGAAAAAAGTTACCATTCTTTAGAATTTATGCAGGCTTTGAAGTAGATCACAACAAATAGCTATGAAGTTCATGAAACTTGGAACTCGGTCCGACTCTTTCTACACAGAACAAGCTACCAGGTACTCATGTCCATCTTTGGCCTAAAACTAGACCAAGTTCTTTATATATTTTCTTAACATGATTTTGTTGTCAAGATATAAGTATAGGAAACTTGATCTGAGTTTAATCATTTTATCATAATCATGAATGCAGGAGTCTAGTTTCTGATATACCTCAAGACCTTGTGATAAAAATCAATGATACAACTTACCTGCTACACAAGGTATTGTTATCTGTTTGTTTTCTATTTTTGTATAATCTTTTTAATATTTATAAAAGTATGCGCACAAAAAAAATTTGGTTAGTCTATAATTCTCTACTTTTGTTGGTTTCAGTCTCCGCTTCTTTCGAAATGTGGCCTTCTACTAAGACTTGGTTCTGATACTAATGATTCTGAGAGTGTTCCTCTAGAGCTTCATGATATGCCTGGTGGAGCAGAAGCTTTTGAACTCTGTGCTAAGTTTTGCTATGGAGTTTCAATCAACATTAGTGCTCATAATCTTGTACCTTCACTTTGTGCTGCTAAGCTCCTCCAAATGAATGAGTCCATTGAGAGGGGAAACTTTGTAGGTAAACTTGAGTCTTTCTTCAGTTCTTGCATTCTCGAAGGTTGGAAAGACTCGGTTTCGACGCTGCAGGCCACCGAGAAGTTACCAGAGTGGTCCGAGAATCTTGGCATAATAAGAAAATGCATTGATTCAATTATTGAAAAAGTTCTTACACCCCTATCCCAGGTGAGAAAAAATCGAGACCGAAAACTTGGTTCGCATAATATTTGATACCGTCTCCGTCTCATGCATTGATTATGTGCAGGTGAAATGGTCCTACACCTACACTAGGCCTGGTTACAACAGAAAAGAGCATCATTCTGTTCCAAAGGATTGGTGGACTGAGGATATATCCATTCTAAACATAGATCTTTTCAGATGCATAATAATGACTATTAGATCAACACATGTGCTTCCGCCGCAGCTTATCGGCGAAGCTTTGCATGTTTATGCATGTAAGTGGTTACCTTACATCAAAAAGGCTAAAAGTTCAGGAAGTTCAGCATCACAGACAGAAGAATCCAAGGAGAAAAACCGAACAATTCTTGAAACAATTGTGAGCATGATTCCTTCCGATAGAGGGTCGGTTTCAGTTGGTTTCTTGTTAAGACTTTTGAGCATTTCAAGTCATTTAGGTGTCTCTACAATGACAAAAACAGAACTGATAAAAAGAGGTAGCATACAGTTTCATGAGGCTACAGTGAGTGATTTGCTTTACCCTTCAACATCATCTTTGGACCAGAATTTTTATGATATAGAGTTAGTTCAAATAGTGTTGGAAAGTTTTCTGAAGTTTTGGAAAAGAATCTCCCCCGGTGCGGTGGACAATAGGCACTACTTGTTAAGATCAATCAGAAAAGTTGGCAAACTTGTTGATTCCTATCTTCAAGTGGTGGCAAGGGATGAAAATATGGCAGTGTCAAAGTTTGTAGCTCTTGCTGAAACTGTGCCAGCTGTTGGAAGATTAGAGCATGATGATTTGTACCAAGCAATCAACGTTTATCTTAAGGTGAATTTTCAGTATCATACATGCATTGTCTTATAACCATAGTTTGCATTACATCATATAAGCAATGTAGTTGTCAATATTCACCCGATTGTATTTTAATCGCATCAATGTACAATCAGGTGCATCCGGACTTGAGCAAGGTGGAAAAGAAGCAGTTATGTGGAATTCTAGAGTGTCAAAGATTGTCCTCAGAAGCGCGTTCGCACGCTGTCAAAAACGAGTTTCTGCCATCAAGAACTGTGGTGCAGCTCCTATATTATGAACAAGAGAAAGACTCTAAGGTAGCAACAACTAGTACAAAGTTGCAAAAACCACATGAGCTACTTCCTCTAGAAGCAAAAAAGAAACCTGCCACAAGAGATAGCCATGGAAAGCAATCTCAATACCTTGACAAAGAAGCAATCACAAGAAGAACATCAATTGCTGAGAGTAGAGAAAAGGGTCAGCAGAAAACTAAAAGGTTGGATGATAAGTTGGCATTAGACTTGGAAAAAAAGATGGTTGTAAGAGGAGGCAAAGAAGAAAGAATGTCAGGAATTAAAGTAAACTTAGATCATAAGAAAATCATAGGAAGAACAAGAAGCAATAAATCAGAATATGGCAGTGAAAAGAGAAGATAGATTGAATAATAGTATTATAATCATCTTTGAAAATTTCAAAGAAAATTATTGTCATCCCTCTCTATCTATGCATTTTTGTCTCCTTTATTCTTATCTTATTATCTCTTTTGTCATAAATGTAACAATGGTGTGATCAAGTGTAATTTATATTTCATTTGAAGGTTGTAACTGTATTTGTTAGTATAAAAATATATTCATAATATTTTTTTTAATAAATCTTTTTATTAAGATGTAAAAAAAACAAATGGGATAGGATCATGTACCTAACTCATCAAAACTAACAAAAATGATAATTAATTAGACCAAAACAATCTATAAAATAACAACTCAAGAATATTGTGTAATAGTAGTCCACCACCGCGTGTCAGGATCCAAAAAAAAAAATCTTGCGTGAGCCAATCTATTGTTAATTTAAATGAACAAACAGTGCGTGCATGTTATTTTTCTAATCATTCTGTGAGAAATTGGATCGAATTCTAGTATGGTCGAAGTCTGTTCGCGAGTAATGCGTGTTGTAGTCGAAGTTTGTTCTAACAGGCATTAGTCAATATTGTTAGGTTTGTTAGCATGTTGAATTCGGCCTTATTTGTAAGCTTAATTGTTTAAGTTAGCTTGTATTCTAAGTTAACTTGTAATGGGTAATTGTTAAAAAGCCCATTAGATTAGTGTGTTAGTTTTCGTATAAATAGCATGCTAGTCTCTCAACTTGTATAAGGAAAAATAGGAAGATAAAATTCTAATTCAAGAGAGAGAGGTTATTTGTTATTCTTGTATACTTGTAATCTTGTTTGATAGAGAAAAGAAAGCATAACTGTTTATAATCAATCCTTGTTGTTTTTTCTTGTTCTTCTTACTTGTTTTCTTTGTTAACCCTAACCCTTGTGTGTTTCTTGATTATAAAGAAACTGTTTATATTTTGTTTCAAGACATCCTATTCACAACAAATTGGTGCGGTGAGCGTGGAGACGATGCCTTCAACAAAGTATGAGATTGAAAAGTTCACCGGAGTGAACGATTTCGGTTTGTGGCGCTTGAAAATGAAGGTCCTACTAGTTCAGCAGAGTTGTTTGGAAGCGTTGAAGGGAGAGGCAGCCATGGACGCCACGTTAACGACAAAAGAAAAGATAGTCATGATTGAGAAAGACCACAACGCAATATTGTTGAGCCTTGGTGATAAGGTTCTTCAACAGATATCAAATGAGACTACAACATCGGAGTTATGGGTGAAACTTGAAAGTTTGTACATGACCAAATCTCTGGTGAATCGACTCTACCTAAAGCAAGTTTTGTATTCATTCAAGATGAGTGAAGACAAAGTGTTGGCTGAGCAGTTGGATATGTTCAACAAGCTGATTCTTGATCTTAAAAATATTAATGTGAAGATCGATGATGAAGATCAAGCACTGTTATTGTTGTGTGCTTTGCCCAGAACACATGCTTAATTCAAAGAAATTCTCTTGTATGGAAGGGAGTCCTTGATCTTTGAAGAAGTTCAATCAGCCTTATATTCTAAGGACTTGAACGAACGAAAGGAGCATAAACCTCCGACGGTGGGCAAATGTTTGGCCGTTAAGGGAAAATTCTTGCGAAAGGATGGTAAGTTCGACAAGAAGAAAGGTAAAAGTCAAGAGAAGTATTATAGTGGCGAAACATCTGGTATTCAATATTTTCACTGTAAGAAGGAGGGTCACACAAGAAAGTTGTGCCCTGAACGCCTGAAAGGTCATGAAGGTAACGATAATGGCAACGCAACCATTGTTCAAGATGACTTCGACTCATATGATGTTCTTGTGGTTTCAAGTGGCGGCTTAAGAAAATAGTGGATTATGGATTCATGTTGCACTTGGCACATGACTCCAAACAGAGAATTGTTCGAGGAGCTATGTGATCAAGATGGTGGTTCAGTGCTGTTGGGAAACAACAAATCTTGCAAAATTGCAGGTATTTGATTTGTGAGATTCAAACTCCATGATGAGTCAATAAGGTTATTGACTGAAGTCAGGTATGTACTTGATTTGAAGAGAAATTTGATTTCTCTTGGTGAAATCGACAGGAAGGGATATGTTTTTTAAGGAGAGAAAAGTATCATAAGAGTCATGAAGGGGTCGAAGGGATTCTTGAGAGGCGTGAAGAAACAAGGCTTGTATACCCTTGAGGCTGAGGTTGTAAGTGGTTCGACAAATGTTGCATCCACGAAACCTGTGCCGAAGACAGAATTATGACACATGAGATTGGGCCATGTCAACGAAAGAGGCCTGGTCGAATTAGGGAAGCAGAACCTGCTAGGAGGTGACAAAGTCGAAAAGTTGGAGTTTTGTGAATCTTGTGTATTTGGAAAATCCTGTAGGGCGAAGTTTAACAAAGGCAGGCAAAGAACACATGGATCCCTGGATTACATTCATGCTGATCTTTGGGGGCCTGCAAGGAATCCTTCACACTCAGGTGCAAGGTGTTTTCTATCCGTCATTGATGACTATTCCAGAAAGCTATGGGTATTTATCCAGAAGGCGAAGGATGAAACTTTTGAGAATTTCAAAAGTTAGAAGGTTCTGGTCGAAACTCAAACTGGAAGAAAGGTTAAGAGGTTTAAAACCGACAATGGCCTTAAGTTCTGCAACGAAGCGTTCGATAATTACTGTGTTGAGTCTGGGATTGTAAGGCATAAGAATGTAGTAGGTACTACTCAAAAAAATGGCTTAGATGAGAGATTCAATCGAACAATCCTTGAAAGAGTTAGATGCATGTTGGTTAGCACTGGATTGAAGAATGTGTTTTGGGCATGGGATGTTACGACAACAACTTATCTGATAAATAGATGTCCCTCGACTGTCTTGGAAATGAAGACACCTGAAGAAGTTTGGTTGGGAAATCCACCTAGTCTCGACAGACTGAGAGTATTTGGCTGCATGGCCTATGCTCACATTAGGCAAGATAAGGTCGAATCTAGAGCTCTGAAATGCATGTTCATGGGATACCCTGAAGGAGTCAAAGATTATAGGCTATGGTGCCTAGAGCCAGGTCACAGGAGGTGAATCACCAGTCGAGATGTAGTTTTTAATTAAGCAGAGATGACTTTCAAGAAAACTGATGATGTTGATGAAGAGCTGGAATAGGGAGAGATTCCTGTTGAGATGGAGCATGTTGATGCTGAATTGCGTATCCCAGATGAAGTCAAAGAAGATGCAGAAGATACTGTTAAAGATGAGGAGACTGATAATGACTACCTTCTAGCAAGAGACAAGTCGAGGAGAGTCATCAAGCCACCTCAGAGACTTGGGTATGCAGATTTTATAGCTTATGCCTTAATCTCTACAAGTGAGGTTCTAGACGAAGAACCTAGAGACTATAAGAAAGTTATGAGGAGTCGAAAGAAGACTGAGTGGCTGAAGGTCATGGATGATTAGATGAAATCTCTTCATGATAACAACTCCTGGGAACTGATCAAGAAACCTGCTGAAGCCAGGTCAATCAGATGTAAATTGATTTTCAAAATTAAGGAAAGGATTGAAGGAGTGATGTCGAAGAGATACAAGACTAGATTGGTCGCTAGGGGGTTCACTCAGAAAGAAGGTGTCGACTTCAATGATGTGTTCTCTCCTATTGTGAAGCACAGATCCATTCGAATATTGCTTGCCAAGGTGGCCCAGTTCGACCTTGAACTGGAACAGATGGATGTGAAGACTGTGTTCTTATATGGTGATCTAGATGAAACAATCCTTATGAGGCAACCTGAAGGGTATGTCGAAAAAGGGAAGGAAAATTATGTACGCAAACTGAATAGATTTATATGGACTGAAACAATCTCCTTGATAGTGGAATATGAGATTCAACAAGTTCATGGCACGCATAAGTTTCATTAAAAGTCAGTTCGACCACTGTGTTTACTTCAGATTTCAACCTGGTAATTCATTTGTTATTTTGTTGCTTTATGTGGATGATATTCTAATAGCAAGCAACAATGTTGAAGATGTAATGAGGGTGAAGGATGAACTTAATAAGGAGTTCAACATGAAGGATCTGTGAGCTGCATCCAGGATTCTTGGGATTAACATCTGAAGAGATAGAAAGCAGTCAAAATTATACTTATCTCAAGAGGCATACCTACGGAAGATTCTCGAAAAGTATGGTATGTCAAATTCAAAGTTTGTTGTGACTTCGAAAAACCCTCAATTCAAGCTGAGTATAGATCAGTGTCCCAACACTGATGTCAAAAGAGCTTATATGAATAACATATCATATGCTAATATAATGGATTCTTTGATGTATGCTATGGTCTGTACTAGACCCGACATAACATATGCAGTAAGTCTTGTAAGCAGGTACATGACGAATCCTGGAAAGGCTCACTGGCAAGCATTGAAGTGGATTCTAAGGTATATAAATGGGTCTCTGAATAGAGTCCTAATTTATGGTGAAACCTTAGGTGAAGATAGTAAAGCAACAATTGAAGGATATGTCGACCCTGATTATGCAGGTTGTATGGATTCCAGAAAATTTATTTCTGGATATGTGTTCACTATGTTTGGGACAACAATTAGTTGGAAAGCTACACGTCAAAAGGTCGTTGCCTTATCAACCACTGGAGTGGAATATATCGCCCTAACTGAAGCTGTGAAGGAAGCATTGTGGCTTGAAGGTTTTGCAAAGAAGCTAAAACTTCAAGGTCGAGTTATCACTATTAAATGTGATAGTCAAAGTGTAATACACCTGTCGATGAATTTAGCCTATCATGAGCGAACCAAGCACATTGATGTGAGGCTGCATTTCGTCAGAGGGGTAATCGAGCATGGAGAAGTCCAAGTGCTGAAGATTTTGACAAATCATAATGTTGCTGATATGATCACCAAGACGTTTCCATTTGCAAGTTTTTCCACTGTATGCAGTTGATAAAGTTGTATGAAGAAATCTAGTTTCTTGATGTTATAGAGTTAGATCCAAGGTGGAGATTTGTGAGATATTGGATCGAACTCTAGTATGGTCGAAGTCAATTCACGAGTAAT